ACGGGACGGTTTTCGTTACGTAACCGAACGTTAGTAGAGTAACTAACAACGAACAACGACGTACGTACGTAGTTTAGGTTCGACTACTATATATATATATATATATATATATATTATATTTAGTTCATATCATGGTATGAATACAAATAGTAGTAGAAAATTAAAAAGAGAGATTATCTTTAACACCCAAGAATTTGTAAGCAATTTGAAAAGCCTTGAAATGAAGACCCCTTGTTTGAGAAAACTAATATTGCTCTTCTTTGATAACACGTCTTTATACAGCTGACCTCGTTATTATAATTTGACTGTTTTTTGTACATGTAAAATGTTTTATTCAGATTGAGAAAGGCCGTAATAATTGATAAGGACTAAGAACGACGTGTTGATCTACGGAAGTTAGCATTGAATGTAAAAAATAATAATTGACGATGACTTGTGAAAAAATCCTGGAAAAATAAAATAATGAACTGAACTCGGCGACGGCTTAATAAAAATTTATTTTTTTAATTATTAAAAAAAATATATAATAATAATAATCAGTGCGAACTAGTGTATTTTAAACCATTTTGAAGAATAATGCGGATTATTGAGTAGATTATATTAAAATTATTCTGAATATGCATTCAGGAATTCACGCGACAACCACAGCTGATGTAAAGTTGCGGTGGAATAAATTGTATCAGAACAATATTTTGACATTGTATGGCGTTACGTAGGTAGTGTGATGCCACATAAAACTGATCGATTTTGGGATATATGTGTAACAGCTCTTGTTCTGTTTGTTTGTTTTGATTTTCGCGCAAAGCTACACGAGGGCAACCTCTTCTGTCTGTCCCTAATTTAACAGTGAAAGGCTAGAGGGAAGGCAGCTAGTCATCACCACCCACCGCCAACTCTTGGGATAATCTTTTACCAACGAATAGTGGGATTGACCGTCACATCATAACGCCCCAAGGCTGAAAGGGCGAGAATGTTTAGTGATATGGGGATTCGAACCCGCGACTCTCAGATTGTGAGTCAAGCACCCTAACTCTCTGGCCATACCAAGCCCGTCACAGCTCTTATATGTATAAGTATATAGATTGCATTCACAGCAATCAGTTGCTTGATTATATTGATATTTTTATGAAAGTTTGCACGTTTAAGAAAATCCTTTATCTCCCCCCAAAGAAATTTCAGAACGCAGTATATCATTTCATCAACAGTTAAAAATCATTAAAAAATAACGTATCTTTATCAGTTAATGAATATTAAAAGAAAACGTCGACAACGAAACATTAAGACTACGAGTTAAGGAAATAGCAACTAAAACAAAACAATTAGAAACATTGAAACGCTAGGGTTTGTATTCGGAAGTCATTTTTTCAATATTATATTTACCGTTACTACCGGAAAACTAGTCAGCTAATTATACTATGTTGTAAGTGGACAGTAGAGCGTAAATAATAATAACCCAAATCAATTCGAGTGTGGCAGAGCAAAAGGAAAGAAAAGAGAGAGAGGAAGAGAAGTATATACGGTACACGTTTGTCGTTCATTCACTAATGGTGTGTGTGTATCACTTCAGTTAATCCTATAAGGTATGTTTATTGTTACTATTATGTTTGGTAGAGTTACATGTGTCTGTACAGTTTTAGTATTTTTATATTTCCTTTGTAACACAACGCGTTAGGATTGTCCTGAGTCCAGTAAAATCGTGAGGGAAGCAAAATTGTAAGTCGGGACAGTGTTTGTTATTGTCCTGTGAATTGTAAAACAAATATACATTTTCAGAGTTTTTAAGTCAATGTTGCCTAAATTCATTTTGCACCCTTACGTAATGTATCAATAAAAAACTGCTGACATATACAGTAATAGTTAAGCAGAACTTTGCTTTTTTAGTATATTTACAGAAGAATATCCCAGCTAGGACAAAACTTTTGTACAGCCTCTGCCTCTGAGGCTTATATAGCGTGTATGTTTTATCCCAGCTAAGACAAGACTTTTGTACAGCCTCTGCCTCTGAGGCTTATAGAGCGTGTATGTTTTATCCCAGCTAGGACAAGACTTTTGTACAGCCTCTGCCTCTAAGGCTTATAGAGCGATGTATGTTTTATCCCAGCTAGGACAAGACTTTTGTACAGCCTCTGCCTCTAAGGGTTATAGAGCGTGTATGTTTTATCCCAGCCAGGACAAGACTTTTGTACAGCCTCTGCCTCCGAGGCTTATAGCGTGTATGTTTTCTTATATACAGGATATGACTACAAAGAAGAGAACTACATTACAGTAGGATCTGCGGAACCATTAATCTTTTAAGGAACTAAACCCTTTATGTGTGTAGTAAATTCCAAAAACAATTCGCTGTAAAAAAACTTATATTTATTTTTGAATAAATTGAAAAACAATGTTCCAGTGCGTTCCACTACAACTCGAGCGCTGATTAAAGTTCATGTTCTTTTATTGTCAACATCAACGTCAAACGCGATACTAACAGCACTATGATATATTTATTTAAACATATTATTATGTTACTCTTCATGATCACTCCTTCAATGCATCTTTAGATTATCTATTGCTTTTCTAATATCCGCAGGAGACAACTTTGAAACAAATTTCAACGTGCAGTGTTTTATAGCTTCTATGTAGATTTTAAGGACTTCGGTAGTAATGTGTATATGATCTGATACAGATAAAGTAATGTTAACGAGCTGGGCTGCGGACCCCGAGGTCCAAGGCTCAAGCTGCAAGATGCATAGACACTTAATCTCAACATTTGGTTAAAAGTAGCCACATAAAAGTAATTTAAAAGCTCAGTCTTCTCATTTGTAGATGAAACAGTTTTGTCTTTCTCTTGAAGTTTTTACTGCAACTGAAACAAGTAGCAAAACGAACATAATTATTCCGTGAATCATGGAAAAGCTAGGCCAACGTGTTATCTTTTGAGTATTCTTGGTGAAATGGGTTTATGAACTGTCAAACAATGTTTAAAGTTACCAAAAGTTATACGCTACAAAACTGGAAATGAAGATAAGAAGTGTATTACGAAACAGAACGGGAATGTGCACGTTCTTTGAAGAAGAAAGTGAATTTTCAAAAAATACACATACCGTATACAAAAACAGTTAGGTTATACCGAAGAGGCGAGTCATATAATTATGTGATATTAAAAAAAAAGAACCAAGCCATATAGAAGAGCAAACAAAGCCGTAAATATGTAATATATAAGTGGGTAAGTTAAACAAGAAAAAAAAAGGGAATAATTCTACCCCTTTTTATTACAACTAGAACAAATAGCAACATGAATATAAAAATATTAATTACCACTAGCTACAAAGTTTTAGCAGTCATTAAAAGCCATAAACTTTCGAGTTTGGTGCAACTATAGCCTGAAAATAAAAAATGCAACACTGAAGGGAACGATATATCATTTTAAGTTCCATTTCAGTCTTTCAGAAACGTAACACTTTTATCACTCTGAGAAGACTTATACTGCATACTAAATACTAGCTGTAATTAATTTTTAAACACAAATTTAATTAAATACTTTCATAAAAGCATTGTACAGTCACCCAAGTCGCCGCCTTTGGAAGTAGACCGCTACAGAGATAGATGGTGGCCTTGATTAGATGAAGGTCATCATCCTAAAACAAGTCCACACCAACAATGCCTAGACCTTGTCTTGTCCAGAACTGCAACAAATGTTTTAATGTGAGAGAATAAAAAATAAATAAGTTAGGATATCTTAGTTAGTGAATTTTTTTAAAAGATAAAAGTTAGTAACTGTATTAAAGTTACAATTATTCCCATGTTTCAACATATTAACTTTGCACATATTAATAGTCTAGTAGACGATTCAGATAAAACTCGATGTCAGCTAGTTTACGACTAAAATATCTAAAGAAAAACAAATGTTTGTAAAAATAGCGGAACTATATGCTAAGGTTTTGTTTGTTTTCGAATTAAGCACAAAGCTACACGATGGGCTATCTGCACTCTGTCCACCACGGGTATCGAAACCCGATTTCCTAGGGTTGTACGTCCGCAGACATACCGCTGTGCCACTTGGGGGCATATATTAAGTATTGTTATACATGATCGCGTACTTTTTCTATAATACATAATGTATAATTTATAATGTAAATGCTTTTCATTTCAACAATTAATAAGAAAGTAAAAAAAGTTACATCACTTTTCCATTTAAGTACATCATATGAGTGAAAATTTTACTTAAAAGCCACAGATGTTCCAGCCTATGAAATAAGTGGAAAACACAACCCAAACTTGTATACGTTATACAAATACCACTTATATGCTTGTTTGTCGAGAAGTAATCATAATAATAAGGAAAAAACGCCTGGGTTTATAAAACAAGGAGAGTATAGTAATACATTACATTATACGCACATCCTGTTCTGACACTTTCTGTGACTATGACGGCATTCGAAGTAACTAAAGTTAAACAATAGTGAACTGTTAAAGTTCATGCACAGTTCCAGACATAAGTTTCATTTTAACAATGGCGGGATGCTCAAAGAAGTTGGTTAATATCCTTTAACTCTAGTTATCTGTTGTTATAGGTCATTCTACATTAGTGTTACACGCAATTTATCGCTTAGAAGTGGACAATAATTTTTTTACAACAAACAGGGCAGGTGTTGACTGGAAGGTGTAACCTTCCTCAGTTATTTTATCACATCGATACTTGCAGGGGTTCTTCGGTATCCCCGAAAGGAATTCTCAAACCTCTTACTTTGTTCATTGTTTTTCAAATGGCAATAGTTTGACAGCCATTTCAATTTTCCTCTTGCCTTTAGCGCCTATTTTCCCAAACTCTGGAGGTCATAAAGCTTTCAGGGACTCATAGTTATGGCTTTGATCTCCAAAGCAACTGGAAGTACAAATTACATAACATATTGAATTTAACTACAGTAATTTGAAGAAGCTGGGTTGAATTTCTAGAAACTTTATGCTAGTTTCAGTTAACATACATGGCAAATAACACACTCGTACGCCTCTCCAGTGAAGTCAGTCAAATGTAATTAGTTCTATTTGCCATTACACTTTTAAAAGGAGTTCACTAGTGCTCTACAGACTATTCAGTTTCGTTGAACTTTTTTTAAAAGTACTTTTAAAAGGAGTTCACTAGTGCTGTACAGACTATTCAGTTCCGGTGAACTTCTTTTAAAAGTATAATAGGAAGTAAAACATTCCATAGCTATTAATCATTTTATAACCTAAATAAGATTAGTTAAATTAAGGCACATATATAGGTTGGTGAGTAGAAAGCTTAGGCTACTGCTTTTATTTAACATAATTTTAAATTTATACATCTTTCACCTAAAGATACTTTATTCAATTAAATAGCAAAACTCATGAGCAGTTAGTAAAACAATCGTAAAATATTGAGGAGACGAAAAAGAAATTTTTATTAAATTATATCATCAGTAATAAAACTTGACTAACCACGACACAGTGGAAGTGATATATCATCAGTAATAAAACTTGACTAACCACGACACAGTGGAAGTGATATATCATCAGTAATAAAACTTGACTAACCACGACACAGTGGAAGTGATATATCATCGGTAATAAAACTTGACTAACCAGGACACAGTGGAAATGATATATTATCAGTAACAAAGCTTGATTATGTTACGTATTGCGAATTTGAAATAGTCCGAAGCCGATATTTTAGTTAATTTATGCTATTTGCCAACAAGATTGACACACACCGTTTTCGTTTTTCACACAAATACGTTTTAATATATATATATATACAACAGTACAATTTTCAACAACAGTTATTACGAATAACTACCACAAACAAAGTTTTATAAATAACAATTTCACTAACTTACAAACAACATAGAATCTTCTTTCTAGTTCAGAGTCTCCTTGATATCCAGTGAGTTAACTTGAAGTCGATGTACGTACAATTGCCGAGAAGCTAGCTAGCTTTGTCAGACCCTGAATTGTTGGACCATCGAAGTAAGATAATATTTACATAAAACTACTAATGTCCGATGAGAATTCAGTAATACTTTCGGAAAGAGACTAACGTCCAATGAGAATCCACTGACGTTCGAAATTTATAACTGTTCCTGGTCAACTGTCGTATATTTTCCGGTTGATAAGGGTTAGCAAAATCACGGTTTATAGCGTACACGGTTATAACAGGCTCCTAGCAGACTTATAAGCTCTCCCCCTTTTTTTTTTGGCGCGTCGCCTTTTATAGGCGATGGAAAGATTTTCTCGAAAGTTCGGACAACAATATTGAACTATATTTAACCAGTTACGGAAGTGGATATATTGTCGATTCTTGCATTCACGAATATTCTACAATCTTGGAGAATTGGCGGGAGTTTCGCCATAAGTAACTAACACTGTAAGCTAGGCACGTTTTTACATATAAACTCAATCCCAAGAAACGTTGTCATTAAAATAAATATATAACAAATTCGTTATACGCAATACATATCTGACACAATAAGTTACACATACTTTTAGATACAAATTTAATCTAAACAACGTTCATATAAAAAAATATTACATGACAACAAATTCGTTACAATTAACTACCTCACAATGGAAGTGATATATCATCAGTAATAAAACTTGATTAACCACGGCACAGTGGAAGTGATATATCATCAGTAATAAAGCTTTATTAACCTCGACACAGTGGAAGTGATATATCATCAGTAATAAAGCTTGATTAACCTCGACACAGTGGAAGTGATATATCATCAATAATAAAACTTGATTAACCACGATCAAGGGAAATGATATATCATCAGTAATAAAACTTGATGAACCACGACACAGTGAAAGTGATATATTGTCAGTAATAAAGGTTGATTAACAACGACACAGTGGAAGTGATATATTGTCAGTAATAAGGCTTGATTAACCACGACACAGTGGAAGTGGTATATCATCAGTAATAAAGCTTGATTAACCACGACGCAGTGGAAGTGATTTAACTGGTTAAATGCTCTAACAGACATATGGTTTAGAGTATAGTTACTTATTGTGACCTTAGTGAATTAGGAACATTTGCAGTTGAAAGATGGAAATCGTTTATTTTTGCTTGCCGTGCATATACAACTAATGTATTGTTCTTTAAATTCTTCATAGATTTTATTATTTATTAATAACTGTTTCAGTTTGCGCAAAAAAAAATCTAGGCTTTTGTTCTCATCAGAGTGGTAACAGTAATATTTAAAAATATGCCACATAAGCTCAAATAAATTATAAACTAAAAAGTTAAAAGTTTTTGGCACACCGTGTCTCAAAATAAAAAGTCCAGCACATCAATTGTTTAACAATGGTTAATCTGTAAATAATGTTCTTTGTTTTAAAGAAAAACCTAACCATATATATGTATATGTTAGGCATTGTAAAGAAGTCTCGAAACACAAATTAACACCAAATACATTAAGAACGTCGTTTTTTTAAAGTTTAGAACATTGTCATAAGTTTATATTCTCCAGAAGAGAAAGTTTCGAGTGTTTAAAAGGGACTTGATTGCTTTGAAGGATTATGTGACCAATTCAATAGGAAGAATTATCACTATCAGAAAATGTATGCCTAAAATTACATTCACGAGAAAAACAAACAAGAACACGATAATTAAGATAAGATAAGTTATCGGTTTTAGGATAAGTCCAAGAGTTGGGTAAGTATACCTATTTTATCTAGCAGACAGGTTCTGTTGATCCAACTACTTGGTTATCAATAAAGAGTGAACACAAAATTTTGTTTTTGTTTAGCTGGGTAAAATAAACGAAGAAGGTAAAGTCTTATGTTAGAGCAAGTTATGCATCGAAGTTTTACTTTCAAATAGAAGCTTCAAAAGACCGAAAACTTGCTCTTTCTGAACCTCAGATTAATATCAGCTGGAGTTTTAGCTTAAACCGTTAACCTATTATGAGCACTGACATATTTGCGTTCATTGTATCTATGTTTGTTTGTTGAAATGTACATGTATTTAGAGATAGAATCAAACTCAACTATAGAAAATAAATGTAATGCTAGCATATTTTAACTGCCCGGTACTGGTATGATATGCTGCTTTGAGCAGTGCAAACTTTCTTGATGAAAAGAGAACTTCGAAAGCAGCCACACTGTGATTACATTTATGGCCTATGATTGAATCGGTGACTGGTATAGGTTAATTTTGAGTGCTACTGGAACGAATTCTTATGCGTTCATGGGTTAAACAGTCTATTCAGAAACCCCAGGGCTCAGGTATAGCTCTCCCAAAGTTTGAGCTATTGACTAGATAAAGGCAGATAGTCAGCAACACCGTTCGGTTTGAGTGGAATAACGGGACTGACTGCCACTTTTATAAAGCACCCACAGCTGCATATGCGGAGCAATGCGCTGCGAATCTTGAACCTTTCCATCCGCTACTCGTAACGCTAACCACTAGGCTACACCGAATCAGAACTAGCTTTGAACTGTGAATTTTAATAATAATAATAATTGTGTATGAAATGTGCAAGAACATGTCTCTGAGGTATGCATATTGCATAGCATAACTTTGCTTGATATTTGTTTTAATGAGATCAAGTGCGACTTACAAAACTGAGTGCGGGCCGGCATGGCCAGGTGGTTAGGGCAAACTGAGGGTCGCGGGTTCGAATCCCCATCTCATCAAGCATGCTCGCCCTTTCAGCTGTGG